GTGCAGACATTGAAGACAATAAAAGATTTTGAACTTAACCAATTTATTAACAATATAATAAAAAATAAAAACACATAAAATAAATTTCAACAATATTAGAGTATTAGGAAAAACATAACATAATCATCATTCATCAAATATTTTTACCTGTACTCCAAAACACTGGCATTCTATACAAACAAATTTCAAAAAAAAAAAAAAAAAAAAAAAAAAGAAAAGTCCTAAATAGTGACTATGCCGCCTAAAAATAAAGCTGGCTACCCATTCAATAAGTCCATAATCAATGGTCAAGAAAACACCTGAAAAATTTAAATGTGAAACCACTTAAAAACCGGCCTAACAACAGGTCGCCGCTCACTTTTTAATTCCACCCTCCTTGAAGAAACATGGACGCTGCCTACGGCAGTCACTCACAGGACAGCCCCGGAACTGAAGAACTTCAATCTGGAACCATCATCTTGTAAACCGGACTGCAGGCATCCTTTGGAAGGGGCTGGAAACCGCTCACACACCAGCCGGTAAACCAGGAACTAGAAGGGTTGAGCCAGAGCGACGCGAGATACTTATAGCAGAAGTAGGAATGACGTCATCTCACGGCAACCAATCAGCTATCGGCACGAATCGGCTTTTCAGATGACGTAACATTGTTTCGTTTTTGCATCTCAATTAGGTTGAAACAGTCCGTTTTCAATGCAAACAGTGGCAGCAAGAAAAAGAAGTAGAAGTAACTACTATGTTACATTAAAATAAGGACTAAACTAAATAAACATTTCAAGGAGGAGAGATGATGCAAAAAAATTTAGAAATAAGCTATATTTTCCAACAGATTATGATAGTATTTCGACACACGACAGTTGCATAGAAATCGAAAAAGGGACACTTTCGCATGAAAGAAACATTCATGTGGGATGGATAATAGCAATTTGTATAGTTTAGTGACATTTACGCAAAAATCACATCTTGGTTATTTCGATAACTAACAACAGCGATTTTGATTATGAATTTGTTTCATAAAATTATAAGCTGTTGCACTACAAAAATATAGATTTTAAGAAAATGTTATGCTTAAAGAATGAAAAAATACCGTACGGTACATTTAAAATTGTATACGTCTTTCGATACCCTTGATAGAGTATTCGCTACTTTTATTTTATTTTCCAAATGTCAAAATGTTTTAAATAAAACAAATTTTTTCACATCCATATATTATTGTAACATGTACCTTTCAAAAATTTTTAGAGGAGAGGCTTTACTGCTGCTCATTTTAAACCCATTGTTTTAATTTTATATATCTGAAAAATAATCACTTTGGGCTTACACGTTTTATAAATATAAAATTATGTACGTTAAAATATTTGTAATTAGGCACATAGGTCAGATTAAAATAGAGTAACGCATGCAAGGGCTATCTGCCTAAAGAGAGAGATGCCATCGTGGAAGAATTTTGAAGAAAAACTGACCTTTGAGGGGGTATTAAAATAATACTTATAATTTTCATTCAAATTATATTTATACATATTTTTATGTAAAACTTTCGGGTGTATGCTAAAATTAGTTTAAATTACTTACACGAAAATATAGTGAATGCACAGAAATAAAGATTTGCACATGCCGGAAATGAAAATAGGAAATATGTATGGGTATTTAGGCATGTGCTTTGCAAAAAGCATGTATTCTGCCTTTGACAAAATACTTAAATATTTCATTAAATTATTTATAATATGCGTTTGGAAATGATTGATTTATTCACTTATAAACAACTGTTGAAAGTTACTGTGAAGAAATCTAATTATTAAATACATTCTAAATTTATAATGATTATAAATGTTATCTAAATATATAATAACCTTAATATTGAATTGTAAACATAAATTGAAATCATGTTGACAAATACGTTATAAAACTATTTAAGCAAGAATTTGTTTGTATTGGAAAGCAATCTGTTAAAAGGTATTGTAAAGCAAATGCTATGAGATGCGCACTTAAGAATGTAATAAGAGTTTTGGAATATGTATTGTTGAAATGAAGGGTTAAAAAAGAATCTGATAAGTATAATTAAAGAATTATTCCCCTTACATTTTTATAATAACTCAGTTACAAGTTTTAAATAATACTTAAAAAAAAAAAAAAAAACTTATTTTATTCCCTTTCAGAAATGTTCAGAGAAAGTCAAGTACTATTTAATACCTATTTAAGTATTAGGAATTAGCGAAATACTTATTTAAAGTATTTCGCTAATTCCTAATAATTCTCTAATTTAAAATGACCGAATAGAGCATTAATTATAAATTGACTTGCATTTTTCCGATTTAAAAGATGACTCATCAGAAGCCAAAAAATCATGTCATATTTAAGAAAGTATTTTAGGAAAGAAGCTCTATAAATAGAAAAGAAATAATGCATAATTTTAATATTAATAATACAATAAACTTTGATCTTAATTTTTGTACCTTAACCGAATAAAATCGAATTACCTTAATTTTTTTTTCTAATGTAATTAACGAAAACTTGTGAAAATATTTCATTCAAATTAAACCATTCTGAGAAGACTGTCCTGTGAAAAGTATAGCATTTAATTCCATTCAGAATGAAATGTTTAAAAATATGTTCTTTTCACATACTTAGGACTCTGAAGTGTTATAGAAAAAGAAAATATATACATTTGTATGTATATTTACGACGTAATTACAAAATATTTACATCCGAACGCATCAAATCCCATAGAACTCAATGGTAAATGACCCAATGTTTTGGTCACCACGTAGGGATTGCTGGTGCTTCAGAGCAGGGTACGGGAGAAACCTGTTTAGGGCGACTCCATCTTACTTCCTACCTCCATGAAAAATTTAAAGGGGAATCTATTTTAAGAGAAAACACTTGGATGTGTACACCAGGAAATAACAGCAATTGAGTTTGTGTTAAAGACAAAAACTAAAAATGCAGATTAAAGTGAATTTTCGACTATATGATTTTATAAATTTAATTTACTTCATAGAACAGCATATCGTATCATAAACGAAGCATACCATGATTTCTCGTTCGAATTATTTAAAGATTACGGAATTTATTGTGACATATATAAATATCAGCTAAAGACGTTTTCCCTCTTGATGAAACCAGTCTTTCCTTTCATCTCATGCCTTCAAAATGTCTAGCCTGTAAAGACTGATAAAGGCTCTGATCAAATACTGATGAAATGAATTGATTTTAATTATTAAGTTACGGCAAAGCCGTGCTATTTGCCATAAAGAAGGGATGCCTTCATGAAGAACTTTCTAAGCGAAACCAGCTAATATACATGTTAAACATGAGAAGAACCATGAGAATGCCCATGCAGCCAGTCTGTTCGCTGGGATTCAAACCCCGAAGAGAACTACCGGTATTCAGCGATTTTACCGCTCGGCCGTTTGTGGTCCCTTTTGAAATGGAAGCTGATAAATTTATTTAAAATTAATGTTAGAAATACCAAGATGTTTTGAAAAGTTGGATGCTTTTTACTTTTTAATATACTTCCAGATTGCCTGAAGCCATTAAGCAAGCCATTAAGAAAAAAATCAATTTTTGCATAAAATTTAGTATTTTTTTAAAATTTAAAACTTTTTAATCTTATGATATTTGATTCTTGTGATTTCAAAAATGAAATAGTTGACTAACATATGAATAACATTTTAAGAAACTAAATGTAGGATGATAAAATTGTGTAAAGCAATGAGCACAATGTTAAAGCTATTTAAAGCAATATATGCAAGTCATTCTAAGTTAAAATGTCGGTTATACATCTGTCAAAACGTAGCCTCACAACTGATCAATTACAATCTGCTATTGAACACACTCTCCAACGATTTGAAATTTTGCAGGTGAATGAGGGTGGTCATGTGGAGCACCTTTCCCTATATCAACCCGGTCATGATTAACAACTGCTCCTCTTGTGCAATTTCACCCTAATCTGTTTTTGTTTCTGCAAACTGAACCATTTATGTATCTCCCTTGCCTTTACTTAATGTGGTTGAATGACAAGGTAATCAGAAACTAGTCAATAAATGTTAATATTGTTACAAATTTGGTATTTAAATAGCTAATGTTAGTAGAATTGCAAATTGTTTTATTCTCCTTGCAGTGCAGCGCAAGATGAATATTAAGAAAAAGCTAAGCCAGAAAATTAAAAATACAAAAGCGCATGCATTTAACATTTAATAAATAAATATCTCTCTTTGATTTCATGAAATTGCTATCTCAGCTGCAAATGGAGCATTTGCAGCTGAGGATGATGGTTACGGTAAAACCATCGAAACCGATATAAATTTTGTGCATTCTGAGTTATAAAATGAATGAATGAATGAAATGTAACGCTGTTAAGTGAACTTAGCACCAGAGTGTCGCTATGGTAAACAAATATAGTGAATTTTAAAGAGTGCATTTATTCTATTGTGATTTACGCGCTGTCGGCGAAGTAGATTTAATTCAACCCGATAAGCTTTAATGAAATGCAAGAAAAAATGCATATAATTAATATTCTGTACAAGGAAGTCGTGGTGTACACATCAGATTTTTTTAATCAATTATCATATATCTGGTGTAATATATAAAATTGTTAAGGTCTTTTTAAGTAGGTTCTTGATTTGTGTTACATTGAAATGTATAACTACATATTATTTAAAAATGTTTTATTGCAATATTTGATATTGGAAAGTATTTAAACTATTATTTTTTAATTTAATTTCTTATTGTAATTTTTTATTTGCAACATTTAAAATCCTTTTCTAGTTTATATTATGGCATCAATTTGTTATTGAATTCAGTGTAATGAATCCAAAAATTTCCATTTTTTTAATTGATTGTGAGCTTAGAGCCTCAAATTAATAATTATTAAAAAATACATGTTTTAGGTTGATGCATTAAGTAAATTTATTAAATATTTCCCTTTTATTAATATATTAAGATTTTTGTATTATGAATAAATATTTTTCTGTAATCATTTTAATTAATAAAAATCTTTCTAGGATTCGTTGCTTATATCTGGTGTTGCTTTTAAGAAAACCTTTTCCTATGCTGGCTTTGAAATGCAGCCGAAAAAATATATTAATCCTAAAATAGTTTTATTGAATGTAGAATTAGAATTAAAATCTGAAAAAGAAAATGCTGAAATCAGAGTTGAAAGTGCACAGGTGAGTAAATTACATAATTTTATTGAGTTAACGCGTGTGCTTTTTTTTTTTTTCTTATTATAGTAACATCTTATTCCATACATCATCGCATTCGAAAAGAAATGAAAACTGAAAGTAAAATGAAAAAAAATGCAGTAAGACATCAATTCAAAATACTTTTTAGACAGAATTAAACAATGAAATTATTTTTTAGTTATTAATTTTTGCCTGAAAATACACTAATTCACTATGTGTTTGAAAGAAAACAGTGAAATTAATTTAAATTTGTATAGACCTTAATCTCTTTGCTCCCAGTTTATCTTACATGATAACGTTTCTGTTTCCCTCGATGGGCCCAACCTATCAAATGTGATATAGGAGCAAAGTGTCACTGGATAGCCCAGCCCTTCTTTATCATATTTAATATGTCGGAATAGAATGTTTTTATTTAATATTTTAAATGGGCATAAATTTGTCAGAATGCTATGAAACCTTATTGAATGAAATCTTAGTGGTAGCCTTGTTATAAATACAAGGTGTGGGTGGCTATTAATTTCTAGGACTGCTCTAATAACACCAGAACAAATGATGTGAAAAACATAACCTTTTAATGCTTCAAAGCAATCCCCCATCAGTCGTAATACGCTTCTGTGCTCGGCTGTATAAGTTGTGGAAACAACTTTTAAAGTCCTCTTTCGGAAGGCTCTTCGATGTCAACGTTACATTCTTCTTGATGTCTTCAGCATCCACAAAGCGTGTTCCTTTGGTCACAGTTTTGAGTTTGGAAAAAGTCAGGAGAGTATGGCGGATGATGCAGCTCCACAACCTCATGCTTGGCCAAAAACCTCTTCACTAACAATGCAATGTGGGGGCGGGACATCAAGAAGAACATGACGTCGACATTGAAGAGCCTTCCGAAAGATTACTTTAAAAATTGCTTCCACAAATTATACAGCCGAGCACAGAAGTGTATTACGGCAGATGGGGATTACTTCGAAACATATTGAGATGTTATATTTTTCATATCATCTGTTCTGGTGTTATTAGAGAAGTCCTGAAAATTAATAGTCACACCTTGTATTATTTACTATTTTATTCTATGACTGTAAAATGTGCAGTGCTTCCAATGCACATGTTGAATTTAAATATGTTTTTTGCAGTGCAAGCACCTTAAAATTTATGTATCTATGGCAGCAGAATGTAATAAACACTAATATTTAAATTGTTAAGCTTTTTTAGTTCATTATTATACTGAAATAAATGAAGTATGTAAATATAAGCATTATTATTATTGCACATTAAATTATTTTGAATTATAATTATTGAGAATTTCGGAGAATTAATGAGATTAAGAAATAATACATTTAATAAATAAGATTAAAAATAATACATTTAATAAATAATAAGATTAAAAATAAAAAATGCATTTAAGTAAAATTTGCTAGGATTCAAATATTCCATTAGAAAACAAATTCTATAGAAAGTATTTTTGTACATTAGATTTAATTGGATGTTCAATATTCCAACTTTGGGGTTGTAGCGCAAAACTTCATTTTCTCAACATCAGGAGTGAGGAGGTTAAAGCAGAGTACATTTTTATTTTTAATTGTACGAAAATTAAACTAAGAAGTCATTATTACTTACCTAGAACAAAGTGCATAACATACTTGATTAAAACTGAATTGGAATAATATCTGTTGAAATGCATTAATAAAAACTGAAAATGGAAGACCTGTTAGTTTGCAATCCAGGCTAGAGCTAAATTTTATGAGTTAATTGAACTATGTTGTTTTTTCTGTTATTTATACACTTGTGTTACAAAAATATAAAGCCAGTCACACATTGTACACATCAATTTAAATTAATTTTCAGTTGCATTATATTTGGTCTTTGCTATGCTTTAAAAAGATAGAAATTTTATTTAAAGCCAAATATAACTTGTTGATTGTTTAAAATTATAGAACATTTATTTCTGTAACATTCATTTTTAATTGTTGATTAATATTTTAAGTAAATTTTATTAGCAGTGCTGCTTTTCATTTTTACTGCAGAAGCAATCTAATGATATTTTACTAAGCAGCAATCTGATGATATTTTACTCTATTTGAATCTGAAGGTTGATATTTTATACACATAAACTATTACAGCACTTCTTAAGAGTTAAAAGAAGAGATGTTCATGTTGCAGTATTAAGCAATAATTTTTGTTGCATTTTTTTCTAAAATAAGTAGAGCTAACTTCTTTATAATTCTTTTGAAATTTTTGCTGCAGGAATATCAAAACGTTGTGGATGCAGAATGGAACATTTTATACCGAAAATTAGACAAAATAGTTGAAAGTGGCGCAAAAGTAGTTCTTTCAAAGTTACCTATTGGAGATGTTGCCACTCAGTATTTTGCTGATAGGTAAGTTATTTTTCTTTTCTGCATTTTCATTTCATGATGTATCATATTTCCAGCATTAAAAGTATTCATTCTTTTCTTACATAGTTTTGTTTTTAACATTTGTTGTGGTTTCACTGTTGTGAAATATGAAGAGATTGCTTATTTTATGTTCTGGCTAAGTGTAATTTTGAATTTTATGATAAGCTTTTATTTAGTTTATTCAATCATATTGTTTGGCATTATGGTCAAAAGTTTGTCATCAATTTTTTTAAACTACTTTCCACAAGTTATTGAGTTCAAATTTTGTACCTATAATATCTGTGGATAACAAAAGTGTGATCAAGTGATTTTTTTCAAAACTGTGTTTATATTTTAAAAATGTTTTAAATTTAACATTTCAACAATTTTTCACACATATCTCCAGTTAACGAAAAAACAAACAAATCTCAGAAATTTATTGTTTGCACCATCAAATGGAGAGAGGATGACTAAATTAAATTTATGTAAAATTTTAACGTAATTTCTAATTTGTTGGTGAATTTTTGAAAATTGTTTGATTTCCCCCTGGCTATTTGATGTGCATGATTCAACATCTAAAAATGTATCAGTGGCAAAGTTATGAAACTTTTGCAGATTATTAAATAAGCCTTCTGCATCTTTTAAAACGAGTGATAAGAAGACATTATAAGTGAGCAATTTTCCACATATTGTAAAATAAGGTACAATGTTAAGCAGAAGGCAAATTCATTTCAAGCTTATGATGTCATTACATCACACTATTTTTCTTGCTTCTGTATTCTAGCTGCCTTTTTGTAAGCTTTTTTTTTATCTCACTTATATTGTTATTTCATTGTGGTCAAAACTTTGCCATTCATTTTGAAACTATTCCTTGATAAGTTGCTGAACTAAAAAATTTGAAACATTCTCATTGTAAATGACAGTATGATGTAGCAAAGGAATTTTTTAAAGTTTGATATAGATTTTTTAAAAAATTTAATATTGAAATGATTTTTCATACATATGTAAGATATTCAGAATTTTACTGCTTACACTATTGAATAGAGTAGAAAGTAGAGCTTGTTACATGTGAAACATTAAATGATGTTTGTGTGAAATTTTTTTCTTCTTTAATGGCCAGACAGCCCAGGATGGGCCCTTGCCTTCTTCAGAGCCGAATTCCAAGCTCTTCTATCCTTGGCTTAGTTATTTTAGAAATTCTTAAGTCTGTTTCCTAAGTCAAGCCACCTAAGTTTAGGTCTCCCTCTTTTTTGGGTGCCGTCTGGCCGAGATCGTTTTAGTCACATGATTTTCATCCATTCTGCATATGTGTCCTGTCTATTTAATTCTCTCAATCCTTATATATTTTACTATATCTACTTCTTTAAAAGATTTGTAGAGTTCAGAGTTAGTTCTTCTTCCCCAGATATTGTTACATTTTATGCCACCAAAAGTACTCAAAATTTTTCTTTCAAAGACAGAAATGGTACTTGCAGCTTTTTCTGTCGTTGCCTAGGTCTCAGCAGAGTATGTAAGAATGGGTCTAATTAAGCTTTTGCAAATAAGCTTAATATCTGATTAAGCTTTAATAAATAAGCTTAGTATCTTCGTTTTTCTGCTTGTGAAGTTAGACTTCAAGTATTTTTTGAGACCGAAAAAATATCGGTTAGCATCTGTGACTCTACTATGGATCTCAGGCATTAAATCATTGAGAGTATTAACTTCTGATCCTAAATATTTAAATTTGCTAACAGTTTCAAATTTGTAATTCCCAGTTTCAAAATAGGGGCTGCTGTTATTACCACATGGCATGTACTTAGTTTTATTTTGGTTGATCGCTAGAGGAATTTTGCTGGCTGCAGCCTCTAATGATGTAAAAGCCTCTCTAAGTGACTCGGGAGTGTATGCGACTATGTCAATATCGTCAGCAAATGCAAAAATCTGAACAGAATTGTTAAAGATAGTTCCACGAGTATTAATGTTGGAGTCTTTTATGATATTTTGGAGGGCAAGGTTAAAAAGGAAGCAGGCCAGTGCATCATTCTGTCTGAGCCCATTTGAAACAACAATCTGAGAGATTATTTTGAATTTTAACTCTTAAGTTTTGTCTTGGAGTAATGGTGACTGAATTTATAAGTTTTTCAGGTATTGCAAATTCTGTCATAGCTTCAATTAAATAGCTTCTGTTTACTGACAAAAATTTTTATTTTCTCCCAAAATTGCCTGATTTTTTTCGACCAGTTGATGTAACATAAGTGTTATTCATTGAAGAAAAAAATATTTTTCAGTTCAATAATTTATGCAAGATGTTAAATAAGACAATATGTTATTACAAATAATAAAAGCATGGGGTATCTTTGATGAATTTATATTGATAATTAATAGTTTTCGGCAGTGCAGTTAGATTGATTTTTTATTTAGGCCTCTAGATTGATTTTTTACTTAGGCCTCATTCTTTTATTATTCGTGATATAAAATTGAAGACAAATTTTGTAAAGAGAATTATTTATTCTTCTGCTCTCATTGTACTATATGATAAATTATTTTTCTTCATTTAGTTCATTAATTACTTTATGAATTTAATATAAAATTAAAATAATTAGTTAAATTAAAATCAAGTTTTAAATAAAAGCTGATAAAAGGTTTTTGGGAGCTGTTAGTCTCGAAACACGATTTTGTGTCTCAATGTGCTGCTTCACTTTTCATTCAAGTCTTTTCCCATTTTGGAAAATGTTAGATATTTATTTTTCAAATTTAATCTATCTCTTATTAAGTAACAAACTAATCTGAGTAACAAACTAATCTGTTTAAAATCAATCTATTCAATTCTTAAAAATATTAATTTTTTACTTTTAATTTGGTTGATTTAAATAAAAAAGTATTTAGCTTTAAAAACATTAATTATTTTTGAAGAATTACATTATATATTTTTCACTTTTTAAATATAAAGAAGATATATAACTTTCATGTTACTCTAATGTATATCTATCCTATCAAATGTTTCATGACTGTTCCTATGTTAGTCTAAATGTACATAGGCTGTGTGGAAAGTTTCTGATGTAACAAAAGAAAAAAAGATATCTTTTATTTTTTGACATAGTCTAAGTCTTGCATTTCTCTCATTGATGCTGCCATTCTTTTTAACCCATCTGAATAATATGTGGAATCTTTCTTTGCAAAATAGTTGTTGACAAAGTTCATAACCTGATGAAAATATTTGTCCTCTGAGTGCTTCTTTTAGCTTAGGGAAAAAACCACTGAGGTGTGAGATGGACTGGCAGGTTTCATCTACAGTGTGTTGTCACATCTACCATATTCACCTGATCTTGCACCATGAAACTTCCACTTGTTACACTCTCTTCAGTAGTCTTTGCATGGTATAATATTCAGTTCTGCTGAGACTGTAAATCAGCACCTTCTTCAGTTTTTCACAGATAAGAAGAATTTCTTTCTGAAAGATGGCTCAAGGTTACTGAGGAAAATGAGCAATATATAATTTTTTGTGTCATGAAGTACACATTGTAAAACATATACCAAATGCGTTTTAACTTTTCAGACAACCAGATAAAAGCACAAGAAACAATTGTGAAACACTTAATTTTTCAAGAAATCCTTTTTTGTGTGTGTGCTGCTTTTCTCATGGATACAGTGATCTACTTTTCCTTAAAAAACACCAGAGTTGTGCAAACTTGGCTCATAAATCAGAACAATTATGTGCTGCATGCTGACTTGAGTTGCCACATCAATACTTTTTTGCAACACATTGGGTTGCCATGTAACTATTTCAGTGACTTATTCCTTTGCCTCATGAATACATTCTGCAGGAATATAGATATTCAGAAAGTAACTGTGTTTTTTTTTTGGATGTACTAGATTGTTCAGATTGAGCACATGTTATAAAGATAACAGAATTTCTTCATTCCCACATTTTTTTTTAAATGAAACATTTATTTTTTTATTTTTTAGAGATATGTTTTGTGCTGGACGAGTCCCAGAAGATGACTTAAAGAGGACAATGAAAGCTTGTGGTGGTGCAGTTCTTTCCACCTGTTATGACATAGCGGAAAATTCTCTTGGAACTTGTGGACTATTTGAAGAAATTCAGATAGGAGGAGAAAGGTAATTTTATTTATATGAGCTAATATAATTAAATATCACTAAAATTCTTCATATACCTGTAAAAAGTAGATTTAAAAAAAAATATTTTTGAATTTTTTTTTTTTTTTTTTTTATTATTCAGAAAGCTTTTTTTTTTTTTTAATTAAGAATTTGTAATTTTGTTTAGAGGAATAATTTTATTTTGGGGAAGACTCATTAGGAGTGATTGTAATTTGGATATAGTTGGCATTCCAAATTTTTTTACTTTCTTAACTTTCAGGAAATCTAAAATGAAAATATCTTTCGAATTTTGTTTTGGAACAAACATGTCATTCAGATTCCATAAATTGAAAACTTTTAGAGTGTAAAAAGTCCAGTGAGGGGTTATACTTCTTGTCTGAGCAGATGTTTTATATAGAAAAGTTTTTATGTAACTTTTTTGTTTATTTTATATAGAAATGGGGTGCTGCATTGTAATGCTTATGTTGGGTGTCCTGCGTTAACTTGTTGAGTGTGCTGAGGCCAAATATTATTGGTCAGGAGTGTTGCGCCACACTCGTATATTACATTACAGAAATGGGGGGGGAATGTTGTTATAAAGTTTTGGCCTGATGTATAAAGATGAAAACAGAGGTATCAATATTGATAAAATGATTAAATCTGTTTTAACTTGCTTCCATAGACTCATTGCTGAAGTTCTTTTAATTATATCAGAATGATGCCAGGTGCTACTATATCAGAATGAAGAACATCTATGAACAATAATAGCTTCAATGCCTGAAATGAAATATTGTATATTTTTGTTACACAAACTCCATATGAAGCTTTTGGGCCTGAACATTTCTTTGATGGCTTTTGGTAAAGGTTTTAGTGGTAATTTATTGCTTACTGGACAGCACTTAAAGGTTTGAATTTGAGACAGTTGTCAGTACTTATGTATTACTTTGTTGATCATTGGCAGAAATTACTAACTGGACAGCACTTAAAGGTTTGAATTTGAGACGGTTGTCAGTACTTATGTATTACTTTGTTGATCATTGGCAGAAATTTTGGCAATGGCTGCCGTTTATTACTTCAGAATTCTGAATGACATGCTCATTCATATTTGGTATTAAATCACACTACTTGGCTGCTACTTTACTGGTTTCACACCCAAATTGCAAGTTGGCTAAATGCACAATCTGAAAGTAGCTGATGGATTACAATTAAAAAAGTTATTAAACAAAACAAAATTTGTTATCTAAATTAAAAAGAAAATAGTTGTCAGAACATATATAGTTTTATCTGCAAGAAATTTTATCTTTCTCAATATGCCATTCAAGTGTATTGACGGCCAAATATTAAAACTTTCAGATTACCATTTATTCAAATAATTGTAATATATTAATCACTAAATAAAGTTAAAAAAAAACTTCCCCAAAGAGGCAAAACTTGAGAATAAATAATGACAACCTACTCTCTTTTATTTATTCCATTTTTCTGTGAAGTCTTCAAAAAATACATATTTGTATGTAAATACACTGCTGGCCATTAAAATTGCAACACCAGGAAGGAATGATATGACGAATGTCAAAATCACATAAAAGGAAGAAGAGGTTGGGATATGCAAATGATTAGTATTTCAGTGCATTTAGACCATGCACGAGGGAGAAATGACGTCTAAAGCACTGACTGAAAGAAAGGTTGTGTAGTTGATTTCTCATTCGGAAAGCACTTAGTAAGGTCAGAATTTGCTCAGAATATTGTGTTATGCCTCAAATAAGAAATGTTTACTGCTAAGTGTCTTAATTCGATAGAGGCAGGATCGTAGTCTATCCCGAGAGGGGATTATCGTTCCATGATATCACCCGTCGCACTGGTCGACATCCAACCACTATCATGCGAATATGGAATCAATGGATTGCTGAGGGTCATACTGAACAACATGCGGGATCTCAACACCCTAGCTTGACTAACGCCATAGAGGACAGACATATGCGAGGTCAGCTTTGCAAAACCGTTTGACAACATCACGAACCATTAGTCAGGAAATGGGCATGCTTGCAGCATGCCAGTATCCGCTCGTAGGGTGCATCGATGTTTGCAGCAACATGGACTATCAGCACAGCGGCCATTACTTCGGCATTACTTGACAATTGGCAATTACTGGACAATGTAGTATAGAGAGATATGGCAATGCAGGTGTGTGGAACGACAAAGTTGGATACAGGAGGGGTACCATGTCGTCTTTTCAGATGAGTCCTGGTTCTGCGTGCGTATTCTGATGGCATATGTGTTTGGAGGCTCTGAGGAGATCGCACGTTACCTGCTTGGATTCGATATTGGCATAGGGGCCTGGTGTGATGGTTTGAGAAGCCATTGGGTACATGACATACATATCTCTAGTTTGGATCGACTGTAATTTGAATGCAGATCAGTATATTTCGGACATACGTCCAGTAGTTGTGCCCTATCTTCGAGGCCTGCCAAATGCCATCTTCCAACAAGATAATGCAAGACCGTATGTTGCAGGTCATGTTCTGACCTTCCTTGATATACAAAGTATTTGATTGCTGTCCTGACCTGCACAGTTTTCAGATCTGTCACCCATTGAAAACATCTGGTCATAGATTGCTGAGAGACTGGCCTGCCACCCCTCTCTAATATGGTTAATGAAGTGAATAGCCTTGAAGCAGCATGGAATGGGTTACCCCTTTCTGTCATCAGAGCCCACTTCGACTCCATGCCTAACCAGGTAAGAGTTGTTTTAGCTGCCAGGGCCATTTTTAGCAACTATTTCTACTAATTTCGCACCCCTGCAACCCTCAGACTGCTTAAAAATTCGATCATTTTGTCTTCATGCCATACTGTTTATGCACAGTAAATATCTTTTTGTATTTGCATTCCTTCATGGTGTCGCACTTTTAACCTTTTGAGGTCGGGACTTTGGTAGCAGTAAAAGCTACCAAAGGACGGGGAATCTTGAACCGAATGCTTTTCCCCCTTTAAGAAATCATCTTCTGTTTGCAACAAAGATTCTTGTGTGTAGTTTAATGGATTCTCAGAGGGGTGCATTTATGTCGCAAAAGAAAGACCTTTGAAAGAGATAAGTGGTTAAAACCCTAGGGATGTCAAATTTGACATTTCATTCCACTTTTCAGCCTGGAAAATGGGGGAAAAAGACATGGCCACTAAAGTGGACAACCCCGTCTTTTCAAAGAGAGGACTTTATGGTCACTGTAATGGCCATCCCGTCTTCAAAAGGTTAATGGCCAGCAGTGTAATTATAAGCTTCTTTGCTTCTTACTACACCTTACAGCATTTCAGTTTTCATAAATTATGTATCCTTTGAAGAAAATTACTAGTAAGTATCTTCATCATTTGTAGATAGATGCTCACTGGTAGTTTGTTTCTTTTCGTAGGCTTATTAATTTTTAACTAAGGAAAGAAAGCTGTTCGCATGTAAATGTATTACCAAATAAAGTTTCTTACTGCAAAATTTGACAATGTAATAAAAGTTAATCAAATTTGTGTTTTCAAATCATTGAATAAGATTTATGTCCGTGTAAAAAATTAATTACCTGTTTCCAGATTTTTTGGAGCATTTACTCATGTTGGATTTTACTAGTGAAGATAATGTAATATTGGAATTGATACCATCAAAATCTTCAAATTCCTATCACAATAATGCTAATTGATTTACAGAAAATGTATTTGTGGGCTGCCACTTTGAGACCACTGGTCTACTCCATAAAGTCTTGTTGATTGTATTGAATTTTCAGGTGTTGTTTGCATCAGTATTCTGAGCTATTTTATATTGTTGAATTTTTAATGCACAAGATTTTTCATTATTTTTGGAATTGAGTCACTGTCATTCCTGTGGTAGTCATGTTAATAAATTCATGGGTCTATCAAGTTTGTCCACAGCAATTAGATTATATAGAGTGTGTTGGAAATATCTTGTAACAGTCACCCTTATAATTTTATTTATTATATTTGGTATATCAGAAATTATTTTGTATTTGTTGCTATATTTTTAAGTAACAAGACTCAATTAACCTTTGATTTATATTTATTTATTTTTGTTTTATGCAAATGATAATTTTTAATTAATGTTTTAACTTTTAGAATTAAAGTTTCAAAATTTTACTTTTGTTATGTATATAATTGAAATTCTTCCTTCCCTTACCCCGGTTGGTTCATATTTGTTTAAGACGTAGGTATTAATGCCCACAGTCTAAATATGCATTGTTGATTATTACAGTTAGAAAAACATTAATGCTTTCTCATTAATATGATATGAAGCATTAGTAGATCATGAAAATGGTTCCTGTTTTGGTAAATACAGAGATTTCATTGCACGGTTTTTCGAAATTATCATAAATATTTGTGATTTTTATCATTAACAGAAAGACATCCAGATACATTCAAATGCAGTATTTATATCAAAAGTCTTTTTGTGTTTTAATTTCTTCATCAGTGTCACTTTTTCAGTGAGGCTTATTTTTGTGAGCATTTTCAGACAGTAAATATTACTGTGAACTTCGTTGCCTCATCGTAAATCATTGCCTTTCATCTTTTCTTAATTCAAAAGTTTTATAGTTTCGCAGTCTTATCAACAGTGAATTGGACTGTTTTTTTTATCTGAGAGGCTATGGCGATTTTTGGTGTTCTACTATATTTCAGCATAGATTAGGCATAAAGATATCGGTCATTTTAGACGTAATGTGCTAAAACATTATAAATATTTTAATTCATTGGAATTTTCACTTCACAAAAGCCATGTAAAAAATTAGGTTTTATGTTTGCAGAACTCTTGTTGAAACTTTTATTGTAAAACACAAAAGCACCATACCCTTCACACAACCCTCAGAAAATCTTATTCCTCTAAAATAAAATGTATTGGAAATGTTTATTTTGGAAAAGTAAAATGTTTTTATTGTAATTAAAAGTGCATGTCTAGAATAAACATTTAAGGAGGGGAAGCAATAATCACTGTAAATATTTGCATATGAACTACAGTTTTCTGATTTGTGTAGTCTGGGGAAATTAATGTTTAATTCAAGTAATATGGAAGAATGTTATATGCAGAGCCGTGCCAAGATATTTTTCCGCCTGAGGCAAAAAGGTAAATGCGTAGCCCTATATATATATATATATGTATATCAAAATATCTATACTTGCATTAAAAAATAAATGTATTAAATCAAGATATCATAATTCTTGTAGCATAATTATACCATAATTCTTAAAGTATTTTTAATCGTAGCTTTATAAATTCAGACAAATAATATATCAAATAATTTATAACTTTCAAATGAAAATGTTAAAAAAATTCTTTTTTTATAAGTAAGAAATAACATCGAAATGCACATTGCATTAATTTCCAGATTTTCTTGCAATTCTTCCTGTTGTTTTATTAATTTAAGTTGGCTGAAGTTTATTTTCTTTAATAATAAATGACAGATTTAAAAACATAATTGAAGTAATTTTTAAATTCGTATAGCCAGTCTAGCACTGAGGCAAGTGTCACTTGCCTCACTCCCTTGTCCAGGCTCTGGTTTTTAAAAAGTATCTGAAAATAAACATTTATAATTTTATTTATATCTTTATTCTGATTTGGATGCTATTTCTTGAAATTTTGCAGATTTAATATTTTTACTGGTTGCCCTAATACTAAGACTGTTACTCTGATACTGAGAGGTGGTGCTGAACAATTTATTGAAGAAAGTGAGAGATCCTTACATGACGCTATTATGATAGTAAGACGAGCTTTAAAGAATGATAGTGTTGTTGCTGGTAAGTAAAACTTTGAAAAGGCATTCTGGTTTTTGGTTGAGGATTGAATGTTGTTAGCAGCATTGTTTGCCATATATTTTGTGAATGCATATGTATGAATTATAACATTTACTGTGTTTTGCATTAAATGTTAAATAGCTCATTTTTAAGGATTAGTTCTATTAAAAATATTTTATGTCAATCCATTTTTACTAATAAAAGGCTTTTGACTGGTATTAATTACATTTAATTAACTAATATTAGTACATTTAATATTTTAATTAAAATAAATACATCTTATTGTTCTAAAATTTTAAGTATTCTGATAGCAATATGGAATAATCTTAAACCATCATAATGGACTCCCAGAAAAATTCACTTTTATATAATTTAGTGTTACAACCACATTGTTATTTTGACTTTAGGCACAAAGTTATATGAATAGAAAAAATATATTATTACGAATTTTGTATTTAGATAGGTAATTTTTGTAGAATTATAATTGAAATTGCTGTATTTCCCCATGGAATGCATCGCGAGACAAATTTTAAGAGAAAGCTGTGCCAGAAAAGTAAGAATATAGGAGTATGCATTATTTAACTTTGAGTAAATGGATATCGGTAATTTGTATTGAAACTGAATAAATGTAATTGACCATTGTGCGGGCTGTAATTCCATCATCTTATTGCTTTCCAGAAATTTCGAGAAGCAGAAAGTACTAGAAGTTTCTCACAACCGATTGAAAAGTATAAAATGCCAGAGAGAGAGAGAGAGTATCTCAGCTCAGTTGCTTAGTTGTTGTTGCGAGTTTAGTTCTGCATGAATTGAGATATCACAGTTGTTCTATTTAGACATGTTTGCATTGCGAGGTATTTTAATGTTTTTAGTAATCTGAAGTATAAATACTGATTATACTCCATGATATTGTGAACACTTGTACGAATATCTCTGAGGAAAATTCAAGCGTTCTGATATATTTCTTTTGATAAGAATATATTTTATCAACCCATTAACATATATATATATATAGAGAGAGAGAGTATATCGGATTTTTTTAACCTTTTAACTGTCATGCCCGAAATAATCTCGGGCACAGCACTGGTATTCCAAAATGTCACGCCCGGATATTACTCGGGTAAATTTTTTTTCAGTGCATCGTATTGTTATACCTGAATATATATAGTGAGAAGTTTATTTCGGCATCAGTTCAACAGACAGCAGCATTTTACTGAAGGTTTTTAAAGGATAGAGGTTAAAGTTCAAAATGCGCGGCATTTTTTTTTTGATTTTTTGACTGTGAGGCAAACATTTCATTTTTGAAACAAAAAAAAAAAATTGACAATTTATGCACCCAAACCATCAAAATAACTTGACAGTTAAAAGGTTAAAAAGGATTTTATGCAAGCATGTGCTATACTAAAAATAATTTGGATTTAAATATAGTTGTTATATGTATTATACATAACATTATCACATTTATATGTATTATACATAACATTATCACGTTTATACTGAAGTTTGAAATTGCTCATAATTCAGAAATTCTGCTATTTTATTTAGGTGGTGGAGCAATAGAAATGGAATTGTCTAAATTCTTAAGGGATTATTCAAGAACGGTTAAAGGGAAAGAGCAATTAATTATTGGAAGTGTTGCAAAAGCATTAGAAGTGATTCCTAGACAATTATGTGATAATGCAGGCTTTGATTCAACAAACATTCTGAATATGTTAAGGCAAAAGCATGCCACAGGTAATTTTTAAAAATTTTCTTGCTCTTTCTTTTATTGCATTTCATATTTCGAGGTGATTAGGAATGGTGACTGAAGGTGTCTTGATAGTAAAATTTCATTCAGAATTTAAAGATTTGAGGTTTTTTTTTTATCAGCTGGTGTTATAGATTTGATTACACTAATTCAATTTTAAAGTGTGTGTAAAATTTTAAATATATGTAATAAGTATGCACTTTTATTTCAGTGATATACGAGTTAAGAAATATATTATATTACTAATTTTTTTTGTCTGTCTTGATTTTTGCAACATGTACTGAAATTCTGCGAAATATAGTTGCAATCGTGTAGGCATAATTTTTTTTATCATAATTACGTATCAGAAAGCTGTCCAACTGTTCAATGACTGTCCAATTTATTAGTGACTTTTTCAGTGTTTAATTTAAAGAGTGTGCATTTTCTATGATAACATAAATTATTTAAAGAGAGTAATATTAGCTGTTAGTGCAGATCAGCTAGATGTTGTGGATATTTTTGGAAAATATAAGCATTTCTGTTATTTGCAGGAGTTAATCCATCTCCCAACAGATTTTGTATCCCTATTTTTTATTTCATTACTGATTTTAACATATGCTGCTGTGGTAATTTTATCACCCTAATGTATTTTTATACATAACTTGCAAAGTAGTAAATCAAGTATATCTGTACTTTAAATAAAGTAATGTGCATTATCTGAGTATTAACATTAAAAATGAGTTGATTATGTAGTGAGGTATATATTATATGATGTGTTAACCTCTTCATGATGGATGAATCATATATGTATCAGTAATTAATTCTCTTAGGCGACTGCACGCCACTTAGCACAACTATAGTTTTAACGCTTTGTAGTATTTATTATGAAAAATCGTAATTAATACATGAAATGAAAGAGCAAGTCGGAACAGTTTGTTGATACGCACATGAGCCAGAAATTGTTAGCAGAAAAAATTGTGACTGGTGAACATTACATATTCAAATCTTGGACTACCTCCAATTCTCTTTGACCTCCTTCGATTCTTACAATCATTCTCTGCTTTTGAACTTCACCTAAATGCCTTTGAGCCATAACTACTGAATACTGATCAATCCTAGACACCATATTCACTTTAAACATTACACAAAAGGAAATTTCAACATTTGTTCAATTGTGCACCACATTGTCAATCGCTGAACTTTCATATTTTTGCCGCTAATGTTGTGTGGAAATACCTTTTTTTTTGTTCAGTTGCATTTAATTAACTCGAATAATTATACTATTAGAAATTTGTTGCATCATTAACTTAGTGAGCATGTTTTTTCTCATTATCATTTAATTTTGATGACCAGTGTAGATCTATATATCAGTATAGAATATAAATTATTTTCAGTTATGAATTATTAAGAAATTTTAGCAAGATTAATCATCAGTCTTTATTCTGGGGAACTAAAAATAAAATACTGTTTGTCAACAAAAGTTCTCATTTAAGTAGTTGGTTTTCATTGTATTTTATTTTAATCAAAGTTTCATGGAAAGCCCCCCTCCCAAAAAAGTGCATCAGTTTTGTGCAAATAAAAGTATAAAAAGATCCGTGTATAAATTATCAGTGTATGAGTGATCGGTGAATCAATGTCAGAAATGCGGATGTAATTTTTTTAGACTTAAAATTGCATTATAATCTACATTAAAAAAATGTGTATAATACAAAGATTCTCCCTTCCTCCCTCGAAAGCAAAAGACTATAAATATATAAACATTTATGTAGGCATTTTACTTAAAATTTGTACGAAATTTAACAAATTAATAAAATTTTTATTTGCACAAAACTGATGCACTTTTTTTGGGGGGGGGGTAGCTTTCCATGAAATTTTGATTAAAATAAAATACAATGAAACCCAACTACTTAAATGAGAATTTTTGTTGACAAACAATATTTTATTTTTAGTTCCCCAGAATAAAGACTGATGATTAATCTTGCTAAAATTTCTTAATAATTCATAACTGAAAATAATTTATATTCTGTATATTTTTTTAAATGTTTGAACATTAAAAAAACTATTGCTCATTATATTTTACAGGTGGTATTTGGTATGGTGTTGATATCCACAATGAAGATATTGCAGATAATTTTGAGGCTTGTGTTTGGGAGCCTGCTGTTGTCAAAATTAATGCACTTACAGCAGCAACAGAAGCTGCTTGCCTTATAGTATCACTTGATGAGACGATTAAGAATCCCAAATCTAATGTTGATCCACCAGGTCCTATGCCAGGTAGAGGAAGAGGACGGCCTTTTTAAAATAACTCATAAATAGAAACTGTTGTTTTGTACACTAACATTGCTATTACACTTTGCTGTGCACAGTTGCCCTGTGATGTTTCATTTCATCATATACTGTGAATAATCAAGCTTCCAATGTCTGACCATCTATTAGAAATATTGAGTATTTGTAATGGATTATCCTTTTTTCATTTTCATTGTGGGCCCATTATCTTAATAAAATATTTTATTGCAATTTGTGTTTTTTAATTAATACCAGGTAACGTAACATTATTGTTAATTCTTTATTTTTATGCTATCTGTAACCTGGCATGCATTGCAGTGCTATTTGAAAGAAAGTGTTTGTGTTTTAACTGTGTTATGAAATTTTCTCTTTACATGTATTTTTCGTGTTTCGAGGCCTGTGTCACCTGATACCAAGATTGATAATGGTTTGGGTGGTGAATTTAATTCTCACAATTTCACTTTTCCACCTACAGCATATTCTTGGTGCTTCATTCTTAAATTTAGGGCTGTGCAATACATACACAGAGTTGCCAACTCTCCCGATTTTCGACCACTCTCCCGCCAACCCGATTTACAATATATTTCTCCCGACTTTTTCTTATTCTTAAAATTTCTCACAATTTTTATGGAACTTGGCTTAATACTTCATTATATGAACACACACACGCAAAAAAAAAGGGATTTTGAGTGTCTGAATGCAGCTGAATTTTCTCTAGATTATATCCAAAACCTTGCGTATCAGACGGAGAATTTCTGCTTTCTGAGTGAGCATACGTATCCAGAAACGTCGTTCTCCAATGGGCATCGAGCTCCACTGCGTGTCATTTGGCATGTATTAGCCAGTGAGCTCAAAGCAAGCTAAAGGCTGGTATTTGAATGTTCTTTAGTTATTTCGTTCATCTTGTTCTGATCTGTGTGAGTACACGTGCCTTCGGGAAATGGTTTTAGAAATTATCATCTTTTGTTATGTCTGCTAGAAAGGTGAAATACTCCTTTACGTTTCAAAAATAGTACACAGTTGACTTTCCGTCCATTATTTCCTCAAGGAAATGTAATAAATTTGCGATGTGTACCATCTGTCATTGCGATTTTTCGATTTCGCATGGTGGAAGGGCGGATGTTCTCAATCGTGTGTACACAAAAACACAAGGACAAAGTGAGTTGCTTTGGAAAAAACGAAAAAATAAGTTTTTCTTCGGAAACACTATACCAAAAAGTTATTAATGCAGAATGTCTGTTCTCTGCCTTTTTACTGGAGCACAACCTGCCACTAAATGCATAGGATCATGCTGCAGCTTTATTTAGAAAAATGTTGCCCAATAGTGAAATCGCTAAGAAATGCTCAATTGCAACAGGTGCAATTGTTAAAGAAATGGGTTTGAAAAATAAATGCATTAAAACAGCTCCGTTTTGCCTCTCTATGGATGGGAAGCAATAATACCGATTCAAAATTGTATCCATTTGGTGTTTCTTTTTTTAATCCAGAGTCTTCAGAAATTGAGTGCAGCTTACTTTCTATCCCCATTTTAGAAGGACATTCGACAGGCTTTAATATAGCACAGCTAATTATTAAAACTTTTAAAAGAAAATGCAGTCCCTCTGGATAATTGCTTAGCACTTGGTGCCGATAATGCACCAGTATTGGTAGGCTTGGGAAGACTGGTGTTGCAGGCATCTTAAGAAAGGAAAATTCAGATTTTCAGATTATGAGGTGCACCTGTCATCTCTTAAATTTAGCAGCTGAAAAAGGGGCAGCTTCTTTACCAAAGAATGGGAATGAACACATTATTGATATTTATTATTATCTTGGAAGGAGTGCTAAAAGGAAGGAAAAATTGAAACAGTTCCAACACATGCATAATACTGAAATGAGAAAAAATTTTTAAATATGTATGTACACGCTGTCTGTCTGTAAAGAAATGCTTATCTAGAATCCTCGATCAATGGAACCTTCTTGCATTTTTTAAAGAAGAAGTAAATGTTTCGAGAGTTAAGGCTGTATTGAAAGTTATAAAATACCTAAAGTAAATGGAGGTGTAGTTACTATTTCCATTGTTAAATTACCATCATAAAAGAGTACACCAAAAATTTAAATCAGCGTGTAGTGTTAGTTTGGATCAAGTAGTGTGTAATCTAGCATTTTCCAGGCTTGCTTCCTGTAGCTCATCTGTTTCAGATGAGCGGGCTTGAGCACATATTCCGGTCTTGCTTCTCATTGCTTGTCTGTTTAAGATGAACAGGCTTGAGTAAAGTGTACTCGAATGTTCCCCAGTTTTGCTTCACATATCTCGTTTCATATGAATGGACTTGAGCAGTGCATAATCAAACATTTTCCAATCTTGCTTCCCATTGCTTGTTTCTGAAGCTCATGATGCCTTTTTCTTTCATGCTTGAGCTGTAGATCAAGGAATAAATTTTCATTTTTGTGGCAAAATTTGCTGCTGTTTTTGCTTTTACCTCTTCCAACAAACTGAAAATGAGTTTCCTTCAATGTACTTCTCACTTTTGGGAACAAATAAAAGTCATAGGGAACCACACCTGGTGGATACAGAGGATATTCAAGCACAAGAATGCACATGGCTGCTAAAAACTGTATGTGGGCTGGTGTGTCGTCCTGATGCAGAACCTATGCATCGTTCTTCCACCAATGCGGTCTTTTCTTACTCTTTCCCTCAAGTTGATTAGGAATTCTTTGTAGTATTTCTGATTATAGATTTGATCCTTGGCTCAAGCGAACGCAGATCGTTGTGATGGGCACTTGCGTTTAATCACCATCCAAGCATATCACAGTTTAAATGATTTTCGAAGATTGTTTATGTGGTCAACAACAGGTAGGATCCAAGAATGATAGTCAGTAACATAGCATAACTAGTGATAAGAAGAAATGTTGACTTCATTTCAGGGAGAATGTAGTGTAGTGAGTTGAGAAAAATGTGTGTAAAATCAGCATAGCCTTACTACTACCAGCCAAGTGGGACAGAAATTGCAAGAAAGAAATGCCAGTAAACAAGATACATATTCCGGCAACAAATGTCATTAAATAGTAGGCAGGAAATACATCTAATCGTGATCTAAAGTGTGAGCATTACTGCAAAATAAGCACAAAAAACCTAAATTGTGCTAAATTCAAACAAACACAAATAAAACAGAAATGAGATTTAATATATTAATTAGGAATAGTAAGAAATAATATGAATGAACAGTTTTGAGCCTCAATCCTTTCAACCTCCTTAATGATTCGAAATAAAGTAACATCTTATCTAATATATTGGTATATTCTGATTTCAGGAATTTTACATTTGTATATAAAATAACTGGGGACTGATTGCCTTTTGAAATTCAGTCAAGACTGTAACAGGTTCAGATATTTCATTGATACTGCTATTTTCACATAATTTGGGGAATTTATTACTTTGGGTTTCTTGTGTTGCTACTGCAGCTGTATCGTGTCCCATACCAGGAGGTACCTCACAAGGAACATTTTTGGGTTTAAGTGCTTGGGCAAAACTCAGACCAGGCTTGACTTGCAAAGAAATTTTAGATTTTCTGATGGAAGGAAACTTCGGGCAGCCCCAATATGAGGCTACATGTGGTTCCTGGTAATCAGTTACTGGTTTTCTGGAATCTGACACACTTAATGCACCAGGAAGCCAATTTCAACAGCTTTTCTTTATTTTTCCATATATCATACACAATCGTGTCACAGTTTCATACGATTCTGCTATAAACCGAGGAGTAGCACCTGCCTCCATCTTTTGCAAAATTTGTACTTTTTGCGTTACCGTCAATGCAGCATGTTTACGTTTTTCAACGTTGCAAGTAGTAAAATCATGAGTGCGCTTCTTATCTGTGGTATTAAAGAGGGCTAAAATTTAAAATATTTGGATACAAAAATAAGGCAGCACTAAACAATCTCGTGAAATAACAAAGCTCAGAAAATACAACAACGTGAATTGTGAACTTGAAAGAAGAGTTGAGTGAATCGTCTGCTTTTTTTTTTTTACCTCAATGCAGATTAGAGGGAAAAAAACTTTTATCATGATGTCAATAATTTGGCATTTCCATTATGATTCGCTAATTATGACGTCATTATTCGGTAAGTATTTTTTTTTTTCGATATTTCATACTCATTATTGCAGTTTCCGAAACCTATAAACTGAATGTTTATATTTTGAGAGGTAACGCAGATTTCAGGTCGGTGGATTTTTGGTATTTGACTGTAGTGACACTGCTGATTTGATCCTCAGGCAGCCATTCAGTCATTAAGACCCCTGATATTGAAAAAAACGATCAGTATTGCTTTCAGTTTTGACTTGCTCATTCATGGTGATGTCAGAGTCTTCTAGTGCATTGATTGACACTTTGTTTCTGGGTCTTACTGGAAGTTACTGGAAGATCCATGTTTCAACACATAATGATATGTGAGCAAGTCTGATTCTTCATTGAATCATTCCATGACATTAGAGCAAATGTTCTTTCTTTAGAAAGGTTTTTTTTTGGAACCATTTTTCGCACAACTTTTGTCATATTTAATTTATCGTGCAAAATTTTTTTTACTTTCTCCTTGTTAATGTTCACTGTGTCTGTAATCATCGAAAAGCTCAGATGTTGTCTTTTCTGCACAATTTTATAAATTTTCTGAGTGTTTGATTCAAATTTTGAACTCTCAGATCAATCAGGATGTTCATCATCTTCAATCTTTCCTGTCTTAATGAAAATATTTATGCCATTCATAGCATTATCACCAAATACCTCCTTTAACATATGAAAACATTCTGTTGACGAAATTTTTAATTTTATAAGGAATTTGAAGTTATGTCCTGCTTGATTTTTAAGTTCACCATGATCGTGGCACAACTACAGAACAAGGCTCAAAAGCAGACAGAAAGACAAATAGTGGCTGCTTTTGAAGGTTCAAAGTTGCATTGCAGTACCAACCTTTCCGCATGCGACCGCGATAGGAGTTTCGCATTCTCTTTATATAATTGTCTCACCTTTTATAAATATATAACAGAGATAGAGAATAATAAAAATTATCATCCCTTTAGGCCTTTGTCACAGAGGCTGAGTTTGTAAGATAAATTTATTTTCCATAACTTGACATTTCGCATATATTACACATCTTGAAATAGTTAGATACAAATTAATATTTCAACACTATGATATATTTTAAAACAGATTACAATACAAAGTCCCATATAACAGTTCTGGCAATAATATTTTTTTACA